CCGCCCCTACAGCCATGCCCCCCCCCCTTCTGCGCGTACATGACCTTCCAATTTTCTCTAAAATTTCTGCTTCTGTAACTTTTTAGGAATTTTTGAATATCTATATACAGAGCAACAGAAAAATTGGAATTTTATACCAATTTTGCGACTCCCGACTTCTTCAGGGATTATTTCGTTTTCCGTCTGGAATTGATTAACAAATGAATGGCAGAATTTCCGCGTCCACTGGGTTCAGCTTTGTACTAACATCGTGTTATCACAGTCTTTATCAGTACTCAGTTTCGTCATCCTTTTTATTCCATTCATGTAAAAGCTGTTCGATTGAACTCTCTGAAGAGAGGATCTTCGAGCATAATTCCGTTTTCCGATTTCCGACGAGTTCTTACCAATTCTTCCGCATTATTGTACTGCTATTCCTTTCTGCCAGCAAGGTTGTTGGGTGAACCCTCTATTAATGGTCCATCTTTTCAATCAGAGCCTCAGGGACATCCATCCTTGCATAAGTGGAAGGCTATCAATAGAAGTTCAACCTAACGAAGTTCTTTGCCTAGCAGGAAACCAAATCATAATATCAGGAAAGCAGGAAGGATACAGTACCCCAAACTGCGCGTAAAGCTAAGTGTGCAGTAGCAGGGAGCCCACACATCACTACTCGGTTTTTTTTTCACCTAGGCAGCTCCTGGCTTAAGGTGGAAAGTGGAATGCGTCGCTGTCGCTCCCTGACCTTCCTCAAAGTTCCTTTACAGGCATAAAGGCTTGTGTTACTAAAACGTTGTGCTCAATTGTGTGCATTCGCAGACCCACATCTAATTTCACGGCAGTTTCTAGGGGTGCTGTACCCGACCTGTTTCTCCTAAACTCAGACTTTGTCAAACGGATGCCTCGGAGTATTGTCGGGATTGTTATATTCATGAGTCGTTGATTCAGCTCTTTCGTTCAGAAGACGCGATGTCATTGTGGCGTCGACCAAGGTCGCCAAGTTGGTCGATGGACAGCTATATCGAGGATATGTCGCGACGTATTGATCGCGCTCTTGAGGAGTGTAGACGTGACATGCGACGATTTGAAGAGAGTTTCTTCCCACGGGCCAAATATGGCGAAGCTCAACGGGTATCGACAATTTCATAGCGATTTTGGGAGCTGTAGTTGTTGGCAGGGACAATGGGTGGAGCTAAGCACGTTCATTCTCTCCTCGTCTGCACCCTCACCGGCACCAGTCGAACTCGCCGAATGCCCATTGTGAGGGCACAGACATGGAAAGATGGGCATGGAAACGGGCGTGGCCAAGTCTCTCTGCTGACTCCCCCATCTCAAGCACCTTAGCACCTATGCTTGGAGTTCTTCTCATTTTCTTCTAAACTAAAAGGTTACTGCTTCGGGAACTTTGAGAAGGGAAGGACCGTTGCTTCTTATTGTCGCGTTATGCGCTATTACCACTCCCGGCACGTCAACGTTGGGGTATTCCCCAACAGAGGTTGGGGCCGTATTTGATTCGAGAAATTTTTTTCGATAGGATTTTTCTTGTTTCACGATTGCTATAAGCCCCTCGCTCGACAGCTCAGCCGTATCAAATGAGCGGAACAAGGGGGAAGGGCGTATCAAGCCACTTCTTAGGCCTCTTACCATTAGAGGGGGGAGGGGCGCACGGTCGACCAGAACCCCAAAGCAATGATGTGCCCTTTACCGCTGGGATGACAGCTCCAGTGTTTACCACTAATTAATGAGTTTTTGTTAACGCTGGGATGACAGCTCCAGTGCAACCCCCACCCTTCCTATCCTCTCCGTGCGATGGTGTTTTGTGATGGGGAGGATGGGTCATTCGGACAGTGGACAGCGCTCTTTTTGCTCATGTACGCTCTCTTGACAAGAACGGGTCTGCCTGCTAACCCCGCTCCAACGTGCGCAAGAAGATGGACATGGCGTATTCCCACACACTGCCCCTGCCCCCCCCCCCCCTTCCCACTTCAACTAGACCGCTTAACATTTTTTATAGGTTCCACATGACCTTAGACAAAACGCTTTAGTCGACTTCAAGCGTACCAATGAAAGTTCAGGTAATCAATGACGATCGAAGATTTGCCGTGGAATTGGATGTGTCGCAATTTCACCCAGACGAGGTGAAAGTGAATCTAGACGGTAGAGACTTGATCATCGAAGGACGACAAGAACACAAAAGCGATAGAAGTTATGAAAAAAGGCAAGAATTCTATTTGAAGGCTACTTCTGATCTTTTTGACTTTTCCTAGCTTTTTCTCCTAGCTGGGACTCTCTGGCTCTAGGTCAAGGTTTGGGTGCCTAAGGATCCAGCTTGTGACTGATGAAGCGCTATTGGGACTCGCCGTACACCTGACCTCCTTTAGATTCACTGGAGCGTTTGAATGCGTAGTTGGCAAATAGGATGACTTCTGGAAGTTAGCTTGTGTAAAATTTAGTGCTCCATTTTGCACCATTTAACCAAGGTGCTGCAAAGCACTGATATATCACAGCGGAAGCTAGGGCGTGTCAGTGAACGGGCTGGGTTTGGCGCGGCGTCAGCCAGTTCTCTACCGATTGTGGTCTTTCCACCTAGCTTCCACAACTGGTGGTAAACGAGCTGGTGCTGCGCCAAATCCAGCCCCAGCATCCATAGCGAACAAGACTGCATGATTGTTGAGCGGACTCGATCCAGTATCTCTGTCTTGAAGCACACCCACGTCTGTTAGCGGCGCCACTTGCCATTGCCCCCTCATGGCCCTGCACACAATCCTATGTGAAGTTAGGACATTTTTTTCGGCGATTGGTTCAGTTTCATTTCAAGGGGGGAGGGGGTCAGGGCAAAAAAGATATTCCGTGAATGGAGTGCTCCATAAAAGCTCAATTGCTGGTCAAATGGGTACCTTAGGTATCAATACAAGGGCGCCGGCGCCAATCCACCCACACTGAAATGAGGGCTGTCTGGGCACCGTCGCACGCGGCGTATCGAGCGGTACTGGGCGCGGCGGAACTGCAATAGCACCTGTGCTGCAAACAGCTCAAGTGCATTAACACTTTTTTGGTTCTAGGCTATGCTTGATGTCGTCGCAGTCAGAGTCAGTGGGGCGCGGGCTAGGAGGGGAAGAATGACCCCCCCAACAGTGGTGGCAACGCCGCTTAAGGGGCCATACCACACCTCACACGCCCCATCTGTCAAGGTTTTGTTAAAGCAGTAAAATATCAATTGATTTTGACTATTATAGGTCGTTTGTACGGAAATGGAGGCTCCCGGACAGTGCTGATGTGGACGCGATAAATTCACGCCTAAGCGATTCGGGACTACTGTCGGTTGAAGTGCCAAAATTCCAATCATCATCATCGAGCAGTTTCCGACGTAACGTACCGATCACTCATACCTCCACGCCACGAAGAGAAACGCATATCGATTGATTCGGCAGAGTTCGGCTTGGTGGGGGCATCAAATTGAACTCACCCAAGCTTGTACGTCACATTGTGATACCAGTGAATCACTGTAACTAAAAGGCTCGTATCATTCCGCAGTTCCTCAAGTGTTTACAGGGGTTAACCTGTTAGAAAACCTGTTAGAATGAGGAACTAAGGAAAGTGCAAAATGCCCCCTCCAAGCCGAACAGTGCCATTGATTCTAATACTTACATGTAATTATGTTCTTTTGTACATATCGGTTTACTTAAAACAATTGATTGCCTGCGAAATTCCCACACAGCAAAGCCTGTGTTTGTAAATGTCAGTTCAGGGGTCATATCACATAATGAACTTGCGGATTTCTAATAAACCAAGATGGCCAAAGGGGATCATTTGGACTGTACTTAATGTAAATGTTGTAAAAATCGAAAAATGGTTTTGATAATGAGTAATAAAGGTTAGAAGAGAACGAGTGTGAGCTTATGTAGGGGGAAATCCCGCTACTATTTCAAAGTAGGACAGAGTTTTTCACGGCTCTGGATCATGCCATGTGATCGAATTTCGTTCATACAGTTGTATATTCTTTCAAGCAGTACAAATTCGTGTGAAACACCTCAAAGTGCCTCTTGGAATGGGCAGAATAACTCCCACCCCGAATAGCTCCGCCCTCTTTGCCAGTGTAGATGTTAGACCTTTAATTTTGCTTCTTTCATGGTTTTTTTTTCTTGCATTTCGGCTCTGTATAGGTGTAATGGCTGGCGACAGACCGCGAAATTTT